AAGTTTACACGAATTCCAATCTATTCAAGGGTTATATTTTTCTAGCCAGGATAAACCTAAAATAACTGGATTGGACGGGAATTTAATTATGTTAAAAGCTATGTAGCTAACATGACCGTTTATTGTTACTTTTATAGGGCGAGTTTCATGAGTGACATCTCTAAAAGACAAAGGACGGCCATCAATGACTTCTACATGTACGGATTTAGTTTTCTGTACAAAAGGTATTTTATGACTTTTAACAAATTGTTCATCTAAAAAACATGCTGAGGCTCCCGAATCTAATAAAGCAGAGGCTTTGTAATTCTTAGGTCCTAAATATAAGTCTATTATAAAACAAAGAGAGGGTTCTGAGGAGAGGATGGGACCTTCATTAGGAATTGTACAAGGTTCCAACTGCATGGTCCCTATTGTAGCTGGACGAATCCATTTTTCGACATGTTGTTTTCTTTGACCGTCGTACCCCTCATTTTATAGTTGCGTCGTTTCTTTGGACAATGTTGAGCAGTGTGCTTAGGTTCTCCGCAATATAAACATAATCCTTCTTGACGACGACGAATCTTTTCTTGCTCAGTTAGGGGTTTAAAACGTACCATGTCAATTTGCATGTCTTCTACTTCTGAATGTACGTTTGGCAAAGATGTTGATGTTGCCATTGAGTAATAACGTTGAGATTCCTGTGAATGATTCTCGAATTGAAATTTGAAAAGTCGATTATCACATTTTACCGCAAAATCGATTGCTTGACTCAAAGTTTGAGGATCAAGTAAGTTGAGCATCAATTTCTTTACTTCGTATTGCAATCCATAAAGAAATTGACTAATGAGTGCAGCATCATCCCACTTGATGTCAATTGCAAGTTGTCGAAATTGTGAAGCATACACTGTTACTGAGCGATTTTTTTGTCGCAGAATTTGGATCTTATTTGTTACAACACGAGTTGCATCGTGTTCACTATACATAGATCGAAACTCCGCCAAAAAAGCTTCCAAATTGTCCAATATTGGATTTTGTTGTTCAAGAAAAGACGAAAACCACGATAATGCAGAACCAGAAAGTAGAGTGCCAATAAACCTGACTTGTGATCCTGGAGTTGGATAGCTTTGCGGTTGAAGTTCAATTACCAATTATACTTGATTGATGAATCCTCGAAACTTTGATCTCATACCATCAAATTTCTCGGGTAAGGCAATTCTTGGTTCTCTAGTGCTTACAGGGTGTTGTACAATTGGAGAAGGAACGTGATTTGTTGTAGATGTTGAAGCAGCTCCGATCATCTCTATATCCCCACTTTCTGCTATTCTTGTTCTTTCATGTGTTGGTGAATTGAGTTGATGCATCGCAAGTATTAACTCCCTCATTTGCTCTTGCATTTGTGCCATTGCACCCTTCATTTCAACAAGCTCTGCCATAATGACACTAAGAAGAAAAATTTGTTTGATACTGCTCAAGACAAAAGAAAAGAAAGACTTGATAACAAAGAAGATACTAAGAACAATATCAGTTTAGAAGTGGGTAATCCGCAAACTTCTAATACGCTTATGCCTTGTCAAGAGAAAGGAGTAATCCACTCTTACTCAAGAAAAACAAAGCTCTGATATTGTAAGTGTACTCTTGTCAATCTGTCAAGGACAAAGACTCGATGAGGGAAAATATACACAAAAAGGCTATCTCGATATAATAAGTCAAAATATAAACAAGTAAGTATATTAAAAAGAAACTGGAATGACTATTGCCACAAGACAAGAAACTAAAGACTCTTGAACCTAGACTAGAAGCAAGAAAGGAGTTGACAAGAGTGAAGAAGCCTTCACTCTTGTCTTTATATATACTATCTAACTAGGGGCTACGTGGCGACGTTCTATAGGATCTCTAATATGTGTTGACTTTGTAAGACACATGCCTTGACTTACAAGGCAAGTTTTTCTACGTGTGGGCCACATAGTTAGCTTGATCTTCAAGCTAACAACACGTGTGGCACATGGCCAACTTGTTGACCACGTTTCTAATCCAAAAAGTCAATTAAAGACACCTATGAAGTCAAAGCAGCGTCTAGAAAGTTTCTAAGAAGCTTCCATATTAAATACTATAGAATTAACTTATTTTTATCTACTTTTACTTACTTCTACCTATTTCTATATGTAATTATTAGCTTACATGATTATAGCCGTGACACAATCTTAGAAAAACTTTTAATACTTAATATTGTTGTTGGAGGTAGATATTACATCTCATGAAATATATAATATATTGTTTGGAGGTAGCTATGAAAGCCTCAATAATGATTAAATAATTAGGTGGTCTTTTCTTCTTACTATAAAATATTATTATTGATTAAAGATATTATAATTACTATAGATAATAATAAATTTTTGAATAATTATAAATATATACAATAATTGATATCAAATGTACATGCATACTATGACCTAATGTATTGTTATTAGCATGAAATTACTTGTTAATTAAGTGATTTTTCTTTTAATAAAAATACCAAGTCTTATACAAACTTATGTTCTATTATCTCATATCCACTTACTATGTATTCTCAAATTCTTTTAAAAGATGCATATTAATTATTTTTATATAAAATAAAGATTAAATTTTATTTTTAATATTATTTTATGGATCTTGAATATTATTAATTTATTAAGCAATGACATGGCTTCTTATATATCTTATTGCCTACAAAAAAGAGTAATATGACAAATAGCCATATTGACTTGTATACTTATTTAGATAAGTAGAAATAAGTAGAAGTAAGTAAAATTAGATTAAATTATTGATATCTTATTTAAAGCTTTGGAGACTTAATACATATTTATAAGTGATTGATAGATTAATAACTTAGCCAACAAGTTGGTCAAATATTGCTAATTTAGCCACTTGTATTACAAATTGGCCATGTAGTGCACATATTGGAAATCCATTTTATGAACTAGACATGTATTTTATAAGTTGGAAACATGTCAAATGGCCTATAGGATATTATTATGTACTTATTTAGTACATAGTATATATGGAGGCATTAATGAAGACTTTTTCATTCTTATAAATATATTTTTGTGTTCTATCTTGAATTAAGACTTTAAAATTCTTTTGCATTTGGTAATAGCCATTTTAGTTTCAATTCTATATCTATCTTTTGATTGTCTAATTTTTTTCTATTGGTAATATAAGTGTGTATCATCATTTTCAGAATTTTGTTAAGGTTCATATGCTTGATATATATATATATATATATATATATATATATAAAAGATAGATTAAAAGTATTATTAATCTTATTGACAACTTCTTTATATTTCAATATAAAATGAAGATTTTTATAGTTTTTTGATTTTTTTGTTTTGCAGTAGCCATTTTGATATCATTTATTTTTTGAGCGTAGTTTTTATTGGATAAATTTATTCTATTTTTATTTTCTTGCAGACTTTTTTTTAACTTTTTTCTTTAATAATATAATTAAAATATTTATTATTATTTATCAATAAAATCTTAAATAATTTTTTTATAAAAATATAAAATATTTTTATTAATTTTAATGTTAAATATATTGTTTATTTAAGAGCATTTTTTTCTTTATTTCTTTTATTTTCAGATTTTTCATCAAATCATATTTCTAAAATTTTATTATTAGAAGACCAAAAGAAATCAATAAATTATTATAATCATAATCAAGATAATTTTAAAAAATATGTATTAATTTGATTGTATCAGCAACTAAAAAAAGATCTATATAATTTTGTATATTAATTAAAATTTTATTATTTTAAGATAAAATTATTATAAAAATATAATGTAATATAATATAATAATAAACTTTTGACATAATACAAATAATTTTGAAATATCATATTAAAAAAACAAGCATAGTTAATCATTTACAAATTTAAGTGGCTTTAAGATACTAAAATATTATAATCTTTAAATTATATGTGATTAATAATAAATAATAAAGTTAAAATCTAAAATTAATAAATATTCATTTTTAATATCATCTTTGATACTTATATCTAATGTGCAAAATAACTACAACCTCAAACTTGTTAGTTAAACTCACAAACCTTTTAAAAGAAAAACTAAAAAAATCAATATATAATAATAAATTTTAAAACTATGAAAAAAAAAAAAAAAAAAAAAAAAAAAAAACTTATACAACCTGATAGACATGAATATATATATATATATATATATATCAAATTCAACACATAATAACAAACTAGACTTTTGAAATTTTGAGTCAAGAAAGACACTGAATATCAAAGAAAATGATTACGACATTTAGGCTTACTAAGAAACAATACTTGTAAAAGTTGAATTAATTCAAAAGTTTTTTATAAATCTCAACTGCAAATAATAAATGGAGCATGTGATTTAAGACATCAAGAAAAAAGGATCAATATAATATTCAATAAAAAAACCACGTCCATTTTTTTTCATAGAGAGATAATCAAAGTATAAATAAAATTAGTTTTTTATGACATATGTGTTAGTTACACAAATGACTTTATTGTCTTCTTTTTTAATCAATATAGAGTCTGTGTTAAAAATAAATTTTCTGTTGTGTATGTATATATATATATATATATATATATATATTCATGGAATCACTTGTGGTTTCATACATTGCATTTTTAATGTAGTAATAAAATACTTTATTTTAAATTCATCTATATTACTTTAATTCTCTTTTTCTATTCCTATTTCTATGTTATCGTTCAGGCTGATCAGCCCTCAATCATCAAAAGCTACATCATCACAACAATACAGAAATGTATACTTAAGAGTAAGGAAAATAATAATAATAATAATAATTGGTAAAATAAATTAAATGACGAAGATATTATATTCTATTAATAATTCAGTGATCTGTCACATTTGTAAAATTATAACAGTATTTTGAACAATCATTCAACCTTAAATTAGTGGAAAAAGTTTTACTACAATAATAAAACTTTGTATTGCCAGGAATGCTTACCAGGACACCACCCATTCACACAACGTTTACTTTTTGCCTCCCTTTTTCTCCCGACACCACCTCCCACAGCTCGAAGAGACTCGGCGGGAGACTGGCATCCACGTCGGATCATTTCGTGGGAGCGAACGCCAAAGGACCCTGCCAAGTGGACCCAAGGGCTCCAAGTGGATCGAGGCGGACGGAATTCGTCGAAGGATAGACGTGAACGGCATCGGGAGGGGACGGTGGATGAAATAGAGATGGGATGGATGGATGAGAGAGGGGGGAGGGGCCAATGGAGGGCGAGGGCCACAATCCCCACCTTATCCTTATCGGCGCCTTCACCTGAGCCCCTCTCCCTTTCGCTGCACAAATTCCCACCTTCATCGCCCCTCGCTTTCTATCTATCGATCTGCCAATTCCTGCCGCTGCCAAGGTCATCGCTCTTCTCGTCAATCTTCGCATTCTCGCAATCTCTTCCTTGTTTGTTCTGCCCCATCCGCTACGACCTCTGAATCATGGCAGGACTTGTGGCTACCTCCGCTGTTGTGGGCGCTTGCGCTTCCTTGGCTGGAGAGCGCATCGCTACCCCCGCCCGCCCCGCCGCCGTCTCCGTCCAGGTACGTCGCATTGCTTTTGCTGTCCATGTGTTGGAACTAGTTACTCATGTGTTGATGCTGTTGAGGTTTTGCGATGGTCTCGCAGCTTTCGTGCCCGCTGGCGATTTTGGGGCTTATTGCTGAGATAGGGGGGGATCTGTGTATTTTTCTCGTGAATTAGGTTCAATGCTATCCTCGCCATTGATGGAGGTGGATAGTGCTAGTCTATGTTTGACACGACAGGTTGTTTAAGATTAAGTAAAATGCAGACAGAGAGAGCACTTTTTGCTTCTAATTCGCATGATTTAGTTAATGTCCCTGGTTGTACATAACTATACGCATATGCCACCGAATTTGTCTCAGATGCTCCCATCGTGTTAGAATACGTGGATTTTTTCTGTAGTTGCAGTTATTAATTCTGCACATTGCGCACCATTCTTATATTCCATTACATGTGAAAATAATGGATCTGGTGCCTTCACCACGTGGTCTCCACTGTATGTATAAAATCCTCTCTGAGGCTCTCGAATGGGTTTTTCGCAGATGGCACCAGTAAGGTGCTCTGCACGCTCTGACGCGGAAATCGTGAACAGGCGTGCCATGCTCGCAGCCGCCGCGGCCTCCGTGTTGGCTATTGCCACCCCCGCCATGGCTGTGACGGAAGGAACTCCCCAGAAGGCCGGCACTGGTCTCCAGTACGACGGACCCAAGAAAGGTTCGAAGGAGGCCAAGAAAACCTACGCCAACATTTGCGTATCCCAGCCCACCGCCTCCATTTGCCATGGTTAAGTAATCTAGCGATGCCTTGCCACTGGATTCTGAGATTAATGTAGATTTTTCTCCCCAGCGCCTCATGGAAACCTCTTTGTAGATCTGAATTGTATCTTTAATGCGATCCCCAACCATCGTGTGTTATCCACCTGTTATCCGATGTGCATGCCGACTGGATCCAGTCTTGTGTAGCGGAAGTATGCGTAGACCATTCCTTCCTGCTCTCTCCTGATGAATTCTGATTGCCGGGCAAGGTTTACGAATCAATCGGACCCTACTTGTGTGAAGTCCGACATGGATCTGATCACCGTCTGTACTATCATTTGCGTATCCGGTCATGATCTGTAATAAATAAGGAGATGTAAAATACGACAAATAAGAATGTAAGCATTCGTGGAAACATAATCGTAGTCATGTAGACATTAGTACTAGTTAAACGAAAATTATTAGATAACTTCGTGATGGTGCATGAGCTTATGAAATTATAACCCTTGATACTGGGAGAGAATAGGTGTCTAAATTTTTGGCACATCAACGATACATCATGTTCCAGTTAACGTGAGAAATAATCCGTTTTGTGATGTTGCAAAATGTCTATGATGCTCACACACGCTCAACTGTCCGTGTTTGTTTCAACGCAACTCGCACCACATGTGGTTCATCAGCACCGAGGCTGATGATAGAAAAGTGTCGAGAACTAATTCATCGTGTAGACAGTATGGAATATTGTATCTTCCTCTTCTCGATAAAGCTGGTATACACACAGAGAGCTGACATTCCTATGGCTGCTACATTGCAAACAGATTTTTTTTTTTTTTTTTTTTTTTTTTCCTCGAGTTGCCCTATCAATCTTTCAGTTTAGAAAGCTGACTGAAATTGTCCTTCATCCCGAGAAGGAATCGAATTTATTTAAGGGTTACTCTTGTTCTGTTTATTGTACTCCACCAGGACATGAAATCTCACTGTGTAACAATTCTATCATTCTCTGTTGCTGGTGGTATTGTTGTGAAATGAGAATCTTTCATGGTGAAGTGTTCCGAATATGTTTTGTGGTTTTTGTCTGTGTCTTTCCTTTTTAATTTTTCATGTGTTTTTTTTGGGGATTTTCTTATCCATTCTGTCGACATTCATTAACTAATCGACACGTTCATGGCCAAAAATAGTGGAGTGCAAATATATGGAAATTTCATTGTTTGGAACACATATTTGACTAACTTCACCTTGAGCATCAAGTTCTATTTCCTCAGTTTTGGCATCTTAGTTTTCAGTATTCAAGAATATTCGACGTGTATGTGCTTTGATGCTGGTTGCGTTGAATCCTAGAATAAAAATTAATTTTCATGAGCAATTTCACTTAAAATACATGAAAAGTGTTTGTGACTCCCGATTCAACTGCTCACATGATATTACGAGTGATTTGTGTATTCTTTGAATATTTCATGCACATGTTGTCACTTAATAAAAAATGATATGTTTGACAATGTATTCTACAAAAATTTATGTCAATATTTAGTAAAAATAAGAATGGTTTTTCAAAAGTGATATATATATATACATATACATACATATATAATTTTGATTTTCTGTTCATGAAGTGTTTCTTCTCTTTCCACACTGACTCAAAAACTTTTGGAACACTTTTTCAATGTTGAGGGCAGGATTCCTAATTTGAGTTATACACAGTGTATTGCTCCTACCAGAAGCTTTAGATACATTCTAAGAAATGGGCATTGAATTTCCATATTTTGTTTAAAAATGCATAGTAAAACCATTATCATAATTTAAGTTCTTAGCTATTGCCTGTTTCAACAGTTTTTAACATAGTCAAAGTATTGTAGTAAATTTAAGTATCAAACACAAAGAATGAACTCAGATTTAATTTTCCAAGAGTAAAATCTTGACTATAGTTGAAAATTTTGCATGAAACATTTGATGACCAAATTTAGGGGATTTCAATTTCATTTTGTTCAGATTTTTCTCTAGATTCTTACTCTATTATGAAAAAATAAATAAAATAAAAAATAAAAAATGTTGCAGAAATTGTTGCCATACATACCCCCAAACAGTTACTTTCAAAGCTCTTTGAAATGCATGCTCATAAAAATTTACCAAAAAAGAATTCCACGCCAATAGTGGTGGGTATCCTTGTTTGCGTGTATGAATGTCAAAAATTGAATAAAACCTTGGCATGATGTGGGCCTCTTTGCTTTTTTGATTTTAGAATTGTTTGAATAGTCCACATAGTTGAGAATGTCAACATGATGGGGTTTACCTTGAAGTGTACACAATAACAAGAGAAAACTTGTGTTCCAATATAATAATTGAAGTTATATTTTAAGAAATATCCAACCATTTAATATTAAAACAATTACCAATGCATTTTGTTTTACTCATTCAAAGTTAATAATTTTAGAAAGAAAAATACACACATATATATATATATATATATATATACATTCTTCTTCATATCTACATATGTTGTGCACTTTGTGTCATTAACTGCTCATGACATTGAAAAAGTAAGTAAAACTTCAATGTGATGTCCATGAATGGGTAAAAAGATAGAGAAAGTGACAAATTTCACATTAAACCAAATAGCCAAATTAAAAAACCCCATCTTGATAAATTTGTAGATCACAAAAGACAGATATAAAATCAAAATGACATGATTTTTCCAAAAGAAAAAAAGAAACAAAATAGAAGGTTAAAATAGGAGAATAAAATAAAAGTTCCTCAAACATATACTTATTTGATAAGATTTACACACACACACACACACACACATATATATATATATATATAAACATATTTCTTAACATTAAAAGATATAAACTATTAGCATGACACTGTGTTTACTTAAGATTTTGGGTCATGAAGTGGAAATATTTGCAGTCACTAGAATATATGATGCAAGAGATAGTCTTCCTGTTTAACTCTGACAAGCAGACATGAGGTGACTACCAAATCCCCCTTAAATTTTAATGAAGATACATGGTTTTGTGAAAATATAAAATTTGGTACTGTACAGATTTACAATACATTGAATTAAATGTACTTTTGACATGTGCTTTATTTTGAAAGGATGTAAACTTTTTGAGAGTTGGTAGTAAGATTAGAAAGGGTTGCAACACATGGTAACACAATGCATTGTTAATGTCTAATAAAAAGTTGCAAACACAACTACAATAAAATATATATATTGTAAGCAGGAATGTGCTGGTAGATTTTGAAATTAAGGTTTTATCAAAAGATTTTTTTTTTAAGAGTCAAAAGGCTTTCATTTATAAGATCTTAAAATATAATTATTATGTAAATAGAATCATTTTATTTTCCTACACTAAAATATAAAAGAATCTATGAAGACAGAAAGGTTATTTTCACTTTATGTTTTTAATTTGTTTAATAAACAGACACAAAATTGGAAAAATTATTCTATAATGTCTAAAACAATTTTGACTTCATTTTAACCAGTTGGATATACATATAAACTTGTAAAATATAAAAAAATAAAAATGAAATATAAAATATAAAAATGAAACAGTGCAAGTTAGACATGTTTTCTAGGAATTCTCTTTTTAAGACGTAGTCATATCAATGGGGTTGAAGGCAATGAAAAAAGAAAAAAGAAAAAAAAGATATGAATTTATCTACTTATTTATATTATCTTTTCTCATTTGAAAAATATAACATTATATTACGAAATTGTATAGTGTAGAGAATCACACAAGAAATGTTTCTATTAAGAATTGTTTTAAAAATATTTTTTGTAAATAAATAAATAAATAAATAAATAAATAAATAAATAAATAAATAAATAAGAAACAAAAACAACAACATTATTGCTTACTTGTATAAACTTTAAAATAAAAAATACAAGTGTATGTATGTATGTATGTATATACATATATATATATATATATATATATAGGGTTTGGTCTCTCAGTTGATGTGAGTAGGTATGTAATAAGTTTGGAGTAGTCTTATAATTATTATTACTTTTGAAGTAGCTATATTAATTGATTAGAATAAGATTTAATGAAGAAATAAGATTACAAAATAATTGTTCAAAATTAAATTAATCATCATCAAAATTACAAATCATCTTAGTTATTTAAATGAATGAGCATTCATTACATATTTTATTTTTTAACAAGGTGTAAAAAGTATATTAATAATTATTTATATTTATTATTTTAAATTTATTAATTAAAATAAAATTATGTAATAATATTCGAATTGAATAAAAATACAAAAAAATATTTTATAACTATATAATTGTATTGAAAAATTATGTTTTGAAGAATGAGGATTTTATAATGTTTATTTCAAATCTTTAATAAAGAAATATCTCACCAACATCGTATCTAAAATAATTAATATAAAATAAGAATAATCTAAACTTTATCATGAATGATAGATGATGAGTTAGTAATACTAGCAAACGTTAATAGAACATAATTTGATCTGGTTTTATTTATTTTCAAAAAATGTGGTAGATTCTTCCATCCAAGTTGAAAGAAAATAAATATTATTACTATAATATTAAAATTTCATAGTACATTAAATGACACACAATGAAATGTTTTTATTGATTGCTAATTTTCTTTTATTGGTTTATGATATATGTAAAACTAATAATGTGTGAATGTTTCTAAGATTTTTGTGGTATTTTATTTTACAATATTTTCTTAAGATTCCTTGTAATACTAAAATAATAAAATACTTTCACAATGCTTGAATTCTACTGTATTCTGATCAATATTAGAAAAATTATTTACTAACTTTTTTTAGTATATATTATGGTGACCATAACATTGTAGCTATTTATTGCCAACAACTATATTATTTTTAGTAGCTACCAATAAATTAAAATAATAAATTACACTTGAATTACAAAATTGAATATTTTATTCACTTAAAAAAAAGTTAATTAATTTGATTATAAATTTTTGAATTGTTCAAAAAATTAATTCTTAATAATATTATTAATTTGGTGAGAATATTATACATAAATATGTCTACATCTTATAACTTCTTCTATTTTATTAATTATAAAAATGAAAATATTATATTTTATTATTTAAATAATAATTTGCAATATAGTTAGTAAAAGTTTTGTTACAATTGATTATCAGTGAATTTTAAAATGGCTTAA